ATTAGATCTTGAGATTAAGGTAACGTGAAGACCTATTAACTGGTTTAACATAAAAATGGAGCAGGAAGAAACCTTTCTATAATGAAAATAATTTTTGAAGACCACAATGATTACGGAAGAGCTTTCTATTCATAACCTGCAATCACATCTTATTGACAAAATGGAAAGAATTCCAAGTTATCAGACAGTACTTCCTGTGACAAGAACCTGTATAACACAGGTGCATCTTTTCTGCAAGTTTTGCAAAGAGGTCTCTGAAGTAGAAACACCATGTCAAGTCAGAATGGAAATACTGTGATGTTTCCAAGTAGTGGGAATTTTTAATAACATGGCCAAGCAATCCTTTCAGTAAAAAATAAAAGATCACTTTCAGCAGTTGTGCCACAATGTTCCTCAGTTACAACCTAAACACGCTCAGTTTCTCAGAGTCTGAGGCAGTACGTGAACACGCTGCTGGATCTCGCCATCAACCAAACTCTGCCCCTTATGACAAGAATCCTTAGTCCTAAGCTAACAGCTGACACACTAGTGACCAACATTCTGAAAGACAATCCTGAGCCTACTGTGTGAAAAACTAAGCCTTCTGACTGTTCAGCTACACGGTTTTGCTGCAGTCCTGCACCTCTGCTGTGCCTCGGTCACCTCTGTTCTACCTGTTGGAGTCCTTCAAGCACCTGTCCCTAACACTTGCTTACTCCCTTCTTGCCCACAGTGTGCTGAGAACTGTTAGTGTGACAGAGGACTGAGCAGGGAAAAAGAATCAAAAAGCAGAAATGCATTTTTGAGGAGGAAGGGCTCTTTGTGATACCTAACGTACTAGCAATCCCTACATGAGTTTTAAAATACTGCTATATATGGCTTTCTCTTCTGATTTATTTCAACAGAGAGGTTTTTTTCTAATGACATGGTAGTTACCCACTACTGTTGACTAGACAATTTGTAAATTATTAAAGTGACTCTTTGAGTGTTCCAATAGCTTTCACTAATGATATAATTTTTATACCATTTAAAATAAACCAAATGGATTCAAAGTCTTTTGGATTCAACTCTACAGTTTTACCCAACCACTCTATTGTGAGCTTGAGCTGTTCTCTTTGCAGTGCTAGCAACGACCATGCACGTGTGCTCTCTCAGTGTGCTCTCTGTGGGAGGAAAACCACATTACTAAATTTTCAGAAATTCATGCCTTATTGCCCCATAAACCTCATCTCTGCTCCACTGATTAAACAACAGAACAGCTAACAGAACTGCTCCATTTTCTGCTCATTATTAAGAATCACAGTATATTTTCTGTGCATAAGTACTTGAAGTGTACAGTCCATCAACTAAGCACTGACAGTCACATTTATTTGTTTTACATACTTCAGTTCTATCTACTAAGGACCTTAGTCCACAACAAAAATAAATAAATATTTAAAGGTAATGCATTCTGTAAGCACATTTGGCCAAATGAAACTATGGTAACAAGAGTAACTGCGTCCTCAAATACAGTCAAATGATCTAATATACAAAAAAATTTCCCTATTTTTCACATTTGGATTATACCAGTCTTAAAACTGAATTTTTGTATTTTACCTCTGCTGCCGAAATAAATGCAACAGCAACGCTCAGCAAACAAGTACAAAGTACTGGAAAAAACTTCCAACAGTCTCACACACGTAACTTTTTCTAACCACCACATGGATTGAGTAATACACTTAAAACTGCAAAACTCAGCCAAAGAAGATGCAACGATGCCAGAAGCAATGTTAATAACTGACCGCTAAAGACTAGCAAGTGTTACAAGTAAGAAAACCACAGGGGTGAGAAAAGGATCAGAAGCATCAGGGTCACAACCCACCCAGCATTGCACTGGCCAGCTTGCTCTCTTCTGTCATAAGAATTTTAGAGTATTGTTGCACTAAAACAGAAGTGCTGCCTGATGGGATCTGGAGCAAAGGTGTGAGAAGTAGTATCCTACAGACAGACACACTGTTAAGATATGGAGAATACAACATTTCATTCAGCAACTGAATTAGAAATACGAAAATGTGATGTGCCCTACAGATAAAGCAGCCAAAAAGTAGGAAAAGCAACCCCACACTTTACCTGCATAAAGCACTCACAGTGAGCACAAACAGAAGCAGCAGATTCTGACTGGAACATTCAAACCAAAGGGTAGAGGTCAAATAGTTCCCCAGGAACTCTCCACTACTGCCAGCCATTGAGGGCAGGACTACTGCTAACAGCTGAGCTATAGTTCAGCCAGGGATTTTATTCAATCTCCTTGTGGGACTACAACATACCCCTGCAGCAAAAGAGATTGAGCTGAAAAAACCATTGTTGTTGGGTTTTGTGGTTTTTTGTTGTTCTGCTATTCATAACTATTACTGCATTAAAAAATACACACACTGAAACCAGAATTTATTAAAACAGTGGTAGACATATGCTGGCATAAGGCTGCCAGCAACACATTGACAAGAAGTAAGAATTCATTTAAGCAAGGACTACTGCATGTATTATTCAGTCATTTGGACCAAGCTGCGTTTGTAGGCAAAAAAATACAGCTTTACCTCTTTTTAGAAAGAGAGAGGGATGGTACAGCCAGTGAATAGAAAAAGATCAAAGGTTGTTTGCTTTACTAGTGTAAAAATAAACCATTTTTCACTTTCTATAAAGACACTTTTAGATGACTGTTTGTACCAAGTGTCTCAGGACAATTATTTCATTTTCATTTTGTATAACAGCTACAAACAAATACTTTGTAAGACTGCAGGTTCACAGTCACCTCTGAGAGAATGAGTAAGAGGAGTAAACCATCCAAAACACTGCTTCTTTCCTTCTTTTAAATTTAAATATGCAAAATGCTAGAGAAAATTTACTGGTTACATTCCCTTAAAAAGACAGTCCAACATTTCCAAAATAAGAAAAATGTAAGTCAACCGAATATACTCTTTGAATGATCTCTTATCACGACAGAACCTGCACTGAATTTTTCTGTTTCTACAAGAGGTAAATTCAACCAACATGTAAAAACTCACATTTTCTAGAATAAGAATTCCAAGCCTGACATTCACCTATTCTAATTCTTCAATTATTTACTAACTTTCTGTAATCCACCCTGTCTGAAGCTCAGTAAGTACAATACTTGCTCACAATCAAGTGCCATGAAACACTTCGATCAATGAGGTATGAGTATTACAAAGAATCCAACCATTTAACCCATATAAAATTAAAAAAAACCCATCTACCTAGGAGTACAGAAATTAGGTGAATTATTTAATATGGAACCATACATGGTAACACGGATTCTAAATTAAGATTTACAGTGTCAATACTGCTCTGTGTAATCATTTTCACTATTCATACCCAATTATAAGCTCTCAAATTAATGCTGTATGCAAGAAATACTGGAACTCTCTGCCAACATTTGTAGCAGTTGCCACAACGGGAAGTTTCTTCAACTGCTGTAAGTCAGCTGCTCAGTTAATAAAGATGTGCAGTAGAGCAGGGAAAGAATATCCAGCCTGAAGTCTGATCACACACCAAACAGGAATCAAGAATCTGCCAGAACTGAGTCATAATAACTGGTTTTCTTAAAGTGTATTTTAGATATAGAAATAGAGTGGATACACTAAAGAAGAGAATACTTGACATGGATGTTTTGCACTGTAACGTTCAGAAGTGCATCAGACTCCGACCAGAACACAGCTTTAACTGAAGCAGGTTTACTGTACTCAGGACAAGAACCATGCATGAACTAGTACACCTTACTTCATGCTTTACTGTGTTGACTAGAAAAAGGCTTGCTGAAAATAATCAGTTCCTCTGTAGTTACAGTCAGCATTTGTGACCTAAGTCATGCAAAAATTGCATGAAGTCTCAAGAAGCATTAAAAAAAATTTCTTTACATGTGCAATTGTCTTACACTGCAGTATTTGTCAATGTATGGTATTGTTTGAATATGGTCAAGTACTCTTATCTCTGTGTAAAAGCTGGAATTCTTTAATAAAGAAAATTGGAAGACCTGAAAATACAATAGAAGACCAGTGTCAGACTAGAATCTGTTCTGGTCTTCTTTTTAAAAGTACGTCATTTTTTTCTAACTAGACCAATGTGCAAGTATGAACAGGGCAACAAGCCATCTTCCCAAAAAGAATATAGTGACATACTAATTATGCAATATTTTAAAGTAAAACCTGCCATAATTATCAAAAATTACCTTTTTCCCTCCCAAAGACCTCAGGATAGAATTTTTGTATACAATACCACTCTGAAAAAACTCAACTATACCGAGTATCACAATACCACTAATGATACAAATCTCATTCTCACAATCTTCTTGAGCTCTTCTTCCCTAGTAAGGAAGTAAATCTTACTGAAATACAGACTTTTAAAGGGTCACAAACAATGCACAGTGAAGTCCTGATCTTTGCTTGTTGAGTCAAACTGTTTATGATTGGTATTACAGAAACACAAACTTTCAGCAGCTTTATAACTGAAGATCCAATATTTCACAAGATACAGATCAAAACAGAAGATTTGCTGTTACATGGAATCACTCTCTCTAAGAATTGCACTTGTGTTGATTGAAAGATTTGACACTGGCATTCCAAACAGTAACAGCAGTTCATAAAACATAATGGTCCAAAATGACTTTCAAACAGTGTAACTACGTCTATGTTAAGAATTTAAATGAATGGCAAAGATCCAAAACAAGAGAGAAGACAAAAAAATAAAACATGTCCTACTAAAATACATTTTTTCAAATTATCATGTGAAATGTTAACTTGTAGAATAAGCTAGTAAACAGCAAATACTGCAGTGTCAATTTGAAGTTGTATAAAATACAGCAAACATAGTTTAAGGGGAAATAAACACATCAAAACAGTAATCAGGTTCTAAGCACACACAATCAAACAGGAAAAATATAGTTAAATTCTAGAACTAGCATACTTTGAACAAGCAATGTAAATGCAATGCACCACCTTGAATACTAGAGGGGATTTAATCTGACATACCTTTTCTCTCTGTTTTCTGTGCAGGGATGGAAGATGTGGATGTAGACAGTTTTGATAAAGTAGATGCTCCATTAGCATCAAAGGATTTCTTTGGCTGGTGATCAGATTGTAGAGAAAATGGACTAGGAGGAACAGTGCTTGGGGTAGCAGTTGGATGAACCACTGGTTTGATGGGATGCTGTACTGGAGCAGAACTACTGTGAGTCTCTGCCCTTGGCAGTCTGTAGTCTCTGTCATTGTGCCTGCTTGTCTGAGATAAAATATTCTGTGGGAGCATACTGCTGGTGTCACTGGAATGCTTGTCTTCCACTTTTTTCAGGATTCCCCAAGTAACGTTGCAATAAGAAAAAAAGGATTAAATTAGAAATGAGTCTAAGATTGCACAGACTTTGATTAATACAGCTGCACACCAACAACTAGAGCTGATTGAACTTCTTATGATTAAAAAAAGCCTCAAGCAGATCAGCATCAAAAAAGCAAAATTTAATTCTACTCACTGGCAAAATGCATTTTCTGACCTTTGCTTGATTTAGAGTTCCGGTTAAGCACTGAGTTTTGATGAAAGGCTGCTTTATAACAAGAGTTACAGTCAAGTTAACTTTTGAAGTCCCCTAAAAAAAAATCTAAATCAAAATCTATTATTTCCATCTTGTATTTAGTGTGAAGAGATAATTTGTGCCATTTTTCTTTTGTTCACTGAAAATGCTGAACATCAAGTATAATATTCAAATTCTAGCCTTCAAAGAATTCCTCTTCACATCATGTGAGTACTACAACAAATTTACTTACAGTTGAATTAATTCAAGACAACTACATATACTAAATGAGTGACTAATCTGCATTTGTCACACAATCATAAGACTTTAAAATATGCTCCACAGGGAACACACCAAGCAAATACAGAGTAATTCTTTTTATAGATTCTTAGATTGTCACCTGTCACAAAACAAATACTGCATTATGCATGTCTGTTATCTTTTTGTAGCATCCAGTATGTTTTAGCACATGCAGTACGTTTCAGTATACACAGAAAAACAGTCCTTTATACCTCTCTACCTCGTCAAGTCCCAAGATTGTGGGGGAAGATTAATACTCTTGACTTCTACTTTTAAACCATCCTGAGAACTATGCTACAAATTCACCCAAACTACATAAGCAAACAGATAGAAACCCATACTACAACTTATTTTCCACAAAAAAAATTGACAAAAATTAAAGCTAGGTTATCAGGAAAAAATTTCAAAGTTACAAAAATTTCAAAGTTACATAGTCCAGGAAAGGTTTTGCTAAGAGTATTGGTGCAATAAAAATATGCTTGCAATAACACATACAAGCCTCTGAAAACCCTGATACCATAATCCATTAAAGTAGCTTATAATTTTCAGATGTGAAATCAAGGCTTTAAAAGAGACCTCTGCATCTCTGTTTTTAAACTCAAAATATGACACTGGCAGGTCTCAATGATCATGACAATCCAACTAAGCTATAAATTGTGCAAGTTTTTTAGATAATTACCCATGAAGATAATTAAATTAGGCAGTAAAAGCTGCAAAAAGGAGGAGCACCATGAACAGCATTAAGCAAGTAAGTGTTGCACTACTAAAGGCCTAATGTTATTTTAAGAAACAACATTTGGGAGAGCTGACTGTGCTATCCACTTTTGCTTTTATACATAAAAAGGTGAGAAAAACAGCTAAGAAAAGGGATTTTTAGAATTTAAGTTTGGAAAAGAAAACAGTACCGCAAACAAGGCAAGAACATATTGCTGTAAAAAAACCACATACTTCCACTGGCAAACCCACTGGCAGCTGTCGCCTGCATCACCTCTCTTCTGTAATCCCTATCTTTTGGAAAACTGTTAACTGACATTTTGCTTGCTTCTTTTTGTCTCTGCTCTCTGAAGAAAAGAAAACAAAAGTTAAACAAGAACTCAGATCATCTAATAATATAACAGTTTATACGGGTGAAGTTACATGAGATGAATTAAACTGCTCTAAGAGCTTGCTGATACGGCCAGGGTTGGTAAACTCCAGCCACTGCTTCCTCACACCCATGCTTGTTGAAGCCCACAATGTATCAGTTCAGCTCACTAACACCGACCAAAAAAAACCCCAGAAAACAGAACAATCCAAAACAAAATGTAAAAAACACCACTCACCAAAAATCAAAACAAACAAACCAACCACACTTCCCCCTCAGGCTTTGGATTGTCAAGGGATAAAATAAGTGCCAGAGGTCACAGTAAGGGTAGAAACACAGCAGACTTAGACCACAATCTGTTATAGCAGTAATCTATTAGATAAGCTCAACTCTTAAACAAGCTTAAGAATATTTGTTCCTTATACAATTAAAACAAACACAAGCACATACCTTTCCAGCCACTCTTTTGGTTTTTCCCATTGTGAAACTTCTGTTCGGCAGTTGTAGTAATATTTTTTGCCTGAAGAGCTGATGTGTTCAGACCAATCATCCGCAGAATCATAAGCCTGTAAAATACAAACAGTGTTGGATAAAAGACCACTTGAGAGTCTTTAATATACAAGTTTCAGAGTTTTCACTGGTTTTAAAACTACATTGTTTTCCATTTACACCATCTCTAAATGCCTGTTTCACTGATGGCTTGGAGATGTGACCACTACACTCCCACTGCATTCTGCACTAGGTTCCTCTGGTTTATTCCCACCAAATCTTAAACAAAAATCTAACAGTATGTTTAGTGAGATACAGTATTGTCAATACTGATAATATTAGTTTCCTTCCCCCTAAAATTTCCTTCAGAAATTATTATATTTTCAAAATTTTTCTACACATTTCAAATTTACCTATTTTGTTTTAGTGTAATTTTTAACAAACAACACCTAAACTACTAAGACTTGGATAATAGTGACTAAAATTCACAATGTGTAATGCATCTTAAATAAGTAAAATCATACTGTCTTCTCTAGATTTACCACAAAGGTCATGGAAAGTATTTCTTCCTTAATTTAAATAATCTAGTATTTTAAAATTACAGGCAGGTAGCTCAAAGTTCTAACAATTATCAATTAGAATAGTTTTACAACAACTCCATCTGGAATTTACAGAGTGTTTATAAAATAAAGGCTGAAGTTGGAAAACTCAATGAAGCAGGTAATGTACATGCTGCTTGTCTTACAGAAAATTATGAAAACACAGTGTGTATGAATGGGGTGACACAGGGATGAATACCAATCACAAATACTCACTGCATCAGAAGTTTTGCTTGGATTATTGCTGGGATTAGAAGAATGTGAATTTGAACTATGAAGAGCACTGTGGTTGTGTGAATTTTCTTGTGGAGAGTAACTGGTCCCTAAAGGAAAAAAGAAAGACTGTTCACAATGGACGTTTTTAAGGAATTAACAGTCTACATTCTAAGGAGCTAGAAGAGGAATGAAGAGGGGAGGGGAGAAGGCAAGCTGTCCACAGCCTGGACCACAGCATAGTTCAGATGCAGAAGTATTTCAGGAGACCACATGCGTATTTCTTTTTCACACAGAGTAAAACTCACTTTGCCTTCCTAGCTACACTAATGCATTACAACCTTTCACTGGTCTTACTCTCAAACTTTATTCCATTACAAGCAAACAAGTCAGTTTTTATAATTATTGACACTTTGAAGACTCCTACCATGCCAATTCAGAAATTAACACACATTTTCTCCTCAGCATTAAGTCAGAAAGTTTAAATAGGCTTATCATTATAGCCTACACAGATGCACAAAATCAGGTTTTAAGTTCACTGAAGCAATGCTGTTTTCTTAACCATTGAGACTACTTGTAACTAGTTCTAGGTAACTCTTTCTGTTTATGCATACAGATCAGACCAAATGTTCCTAGACCTCAGTCTCTGCAATAAAGGTATTGACACCTAGAATACCAACAGCAGCATTTCCCAAACTCCTCCTGCTTCTGGCCTCCCTACCAACGACTTCTCAAGGTAAGCTGGTTTTCCTCATTATGAAAACACTTAAACACCAAAAAATCCCAGCTGAAAGGAGAAATAATTCTCAGCATCTTTTAGATCTGTATTTGTGCCTAAGCTCAAGTCACCTGAACAGTTCCACATATGAAGTCAAAGTGCTTTGCAAATGGCAAAGAGTGGATCTTATGGGAACTACAGTAAAGAACACTCTACTTAAGCAGACCGATAGGTGGGAGTCAATGGAGTAATAAAAAAAAAATTGTTTTAAAGTCTTCTGAGAGCAACACACAGAGATAACGTCTAAATGACATAGCATTGTGCAAAATTAGAGATATTATAATGCAAATTCTGCCTTTGAGCCTTCTGACTGCATGACCACTGACAAAAAAATTACTATTTCAAAAATTTCTTCCTCCCCACCTCTAACCCTGTAGGTTAGAAGAACAGTCCATCACAAAAGCAAAGAGGTACAACACCGTGACTAAGCTATTTAGTACCCTAAAAAGGTTAAAGGTTAGTCTGCACACACGTGCTACTGCAATCTGAACCATCAGTATCTCAAAACCTTTCCCTACTGTGTATTATTCTCTTTAAAGCTATGGAGGGAAAAAACAAAAAAAAAGGAAAACAGAGTAAGTTTCACACTCAAATAACAGCCTTCCAGGAGCTTGGCAGTTAGTCCTACATCATAAGCATCTTGCATGCTTAGAGCCAGGTAGAATGACTTACCATGGGGTTTGTCAAAGCAATACTCACAACATCACACAATTGTGATGCACATGCATAACAAGAACAAAAAAGACACCTACAGAAATAGACACATTTAATTTCCCTAAATATAAGCAGTATATCATAATTACTAGCCTGTACTCCTTAGTCACCAACAGCCTAAATATTTTTTTAGACACTGATTATGGAGTGGAATAGCTGTTTAATATTGTTGTATTAATCATTCTGTTAGTTTTTATTTATTTACTATATCCTTCTACTGAGATAAAATCATTAAAAATTCTTTATGTATTTCTGTAGGTTGCTCAACACAGACATATTAATTTCTACTATGAGACAAAATCATCTCCCTTTTTCAACAAAAAAACAAGATGAAAATTTACCAGATGGCCTGTTCGAACAGTTTGATATTAGTCCCTTCAAAATGTCAGAAAACACCAATGTGCTTAATTAGCTGAAATCCCATATAGCATGGATGCAGCAACACTGCACTTTGTTCAACATACTGAAGATATACATGGTGACTCTTAAATACTCCAGTGGTCTAAATACAGCACAACAGTGAACCTAATACTCATTTTCCAAACACGAGTAAGAGCCAACAACATACCTATTAAATCAGTAAAATATTTTAAAGCCAATTCTACCCAACCCACAAACAAACCCCTCAAATTCACCATGCAGAGTTTCAGACCCCACATGTTCTATCAGCTCAGCACATGCCCCCTCCATCTCACACTGTGCCCAGCCCCGAACTGAATCACCAAGCAAGCATCAGAGCAGCTGCAGCAGTCACACCCACCCGCAGCTGGCCCAGATAGCAGAAACACCTACTACACAGCAGTTGATTCACAAGGGGCCCCTGGGCCCCTCTGTGCTGAGCTGCAATCCTCCCAGACTGCACACCCCGGGGCCTCACCCAGGATCCTATCCAACCTGAGGCCGCAGCTGAACAAAAACTGACCACAGCTGCTCCAGCAATACCTACTGCCTCGGGTCACCAGGACTAGCCATGTGGGCAGTTACAGGGCCAACACAAATACATCCCCAGTGGTGCCCAGGACAATTACACAGTACAATTACAGGTGCAGGTTCACCACCCACACCTCCATTTTATTTTATGCATAATGCCGCTTTACGTTTGGATCTGTACCTGAACTTCAGGAATGAGCATATGAAAGCACTGCTGAACTCATGTTTGTTGCTGGGAAGCTTCCAAGACCAAAGTAAACATACTCTGGAGAACAAGAGTTTTAGGCACTTCATACAAGTTAAGGCTTTAAAGATTCTATGTAAACATGGAAACCATATTGCCAAATTACCTTTTTATACTGAGGCACCAAGGTTTTAGTATGTGGTTAAATCCATGCACAGCAGTAATCTAGGAATCTGACAACCGAGCCAAGCAAGCAGTGCCAGCTCAGGTTGCCTGGGAAAGTTGTAGAAGATCTTTAAAAGGCCACCAAGTTAAAATGTAAGCAGAAAGCGACCTGCAAGAAGAGGTCTACCTCTAAAAAGATGTGGGGGTTCTCCTGGCTTGAATGCCTTCACCTTTTTCCAAGCCTAACCCCAAGTCATTTTACAGTGACTGTGACTTGCAATCAGCTCTGAGATGCATGCCTGGCAAAGTAGATCACGAGAATCGCGTCCCAGAAACAGGACCAATAAGGTAGACAGCACACTACTGTTCCTCAAGACAGCCCCTTATAGCACTTCTCACCTTCTCCTCTTCCAGTTAGACATTCCTTATTGGTTCCACTTTCTTCAGGAAGAAGGGACAAAGACTTGTTTTTAAATTTCTTATTAACATATCTTAAGATTCAGCAATTGCAAATATATATCTTTGATGCACCACAGGGAAATTCATATTGTGCTATGAATACTCCAACTCAGTTACAGAACTCCCCATGGAAACGTTTACTGCATCATCAGGGTAAGTTTCCTCAGCTTAATCATTATTTTGAAAGCAGTTAAAGCTGGAAAGAGCTACTCCTAACTGGAAGATGGCCAAGAAAGGCATCAGCACTACACTTACATAAAGCAGTAATGCTGTGACTGTGTGAGCAAGCCTTCACTAACACTAATCCTAGTGATGAACAAGGCACAGTGCAGGTCAGAGTCAGGGTTAATATATCAAAGTTATCACCTAGTCTTTCAAACAATCACATCCTCCTTACTAACGCATGAAAATCACCAGAATGCACAAAGAGCAAGGTTCTGGGAACCAATTCAAAAACTGGGCTGTGACTTAATGCCTACTACAGATCTGAGACTCTGTCATGCCAAAACTCACTTCAAGTAGTTTCCAGATCCAAACTGCTGAATTCAAGACAGGTTGAACTGCTACAAGGGTTCAACACTGTGCTGAACTTGAAAAACAGATATAACATAGAGTGAAATAAGAATATTCCACTTTGCAACACAGTCAACTTTCTCTAATAATTATCACATTTAATTTATGTCTCATTTACACCACCTCAACTCTGAAATTACGACAAACTCATATTCTGAGTTACTTAAGGATCAGACTATTCTAATAAAATAACTGATAAAATCCCTATTAATATCCTAACTCCCATAACTATAATAAAAAGTGTCAGTGCAGATAATGTAAAGGAAGTTTACAAATGCTCACCAGCTGGAACTCAAAGGCAGTCCGCCCTTCAGTCCCTCCAGACGGAACAGGGATTTAGGAAGAAGAATCATCTTTTCTGTGCCCAGAAACCAGGCATGTGGAAAGAAACACTGAGCAGCAGAAAATCAAGGAAGTTCATTCCATTTGTGTCAACTTCATACATACTGTTCCATGAACCCATGTTCCAACTCTTAGCTATCATGCAATCAAATCCATTAAACTAGACGAAATATCAGAACCTGAACTTCCTCAATAGAACCAATACTACCCAACTGACAGACACGAACCAGTTGTTAACAGAGAAAACAACAAGATAGTTTATGGTGATGATATTTTATGGAGATAACTGATTAAGACTACTTTAAACAGTGAAAACTTATCTAAAACTTATCTAAAATAAACCTAAATTAAAATGTCTGAAGCGTATTTCAACTGGTTTTTTTAGTTCAGTGCAGATATTTGTCCAGAACACTTTCTAAAGTACTGCATATGGAAATAAATAAAGCAGCATAACAGGAGCACAATACTCAATGTCCCAGCCTATCGTGGCCATTTTGATTTGCCACATGTAAAAGTAGTAAGACAAATCGTAATTTTTGTTCACTGCATTTTTATGTGGCCTGCTGTATTGAAATAAATATGGTTGTCTTCCACAGGCAACCAAAAGCACAAAAACTTGCCATCCTCCTAGCAGAGCAGTGGCCTCAGAGAATACACCAACTGCGCAGTAACGTTTTCCAGAAGTTCATAACATACTAAGTTGAATGCACAATGCTCTGCCAAAAGAAAGAAAATCTAGCCTGATCACTGTACTGCCCAAATGCCCAATTACATACTCATTATGCCCCCCCAAATAAATGTTTTATACCAGTCAACAAGTAGCTCTATTGAGCATAAAAGCTTACAAAGCCTCATTTCATTCTCTGCCCTCCTCTCCTGCCACACTGCCCATCCAGGACAGCAGTCTCTGTTTTTTGCAATATCCAATTCACAGGGTAATCATTACAATATAAAGAAGTTTTCAT